TATTTCTATCATCATAGAAAATTCTATTGGACAACAGTGGTCTAGAGTGTCCTAGAAACTGACATGGCCTCTAGGGGTAAGTGTAGCTCCAGGCAAAGCTGCAACATGGTTAAAAATATTTAATTTTTTGAAAAGGTAATTCAAGCACATGATGCAAAATTATAAAAGATGCAAACTGGCTTATAGGGCAAAGTTAGTCTCTTTCCTACTTCTATCCCCAGTTTCTCCCCTTACCAGTTTCTTGTGATTCCCTCCAAAGACATTCCACTCAAATGCAAGTATAAGTGTATGTATCTCTGTGACAGTTGAAAAACATAGCCACAAACATTCTTTGACGTTCCTCTCATTGAGAGATGAGGTTTATGCCCCCCCTCCTTGAGTCTGGATAAGCTTTGGACTACTTCAGCCGTTACAATTTGGTGGCATTGTGTTACTTTCCATCTAAAAGGTCCTAAAAGGCCAAACGGCTTCCACCTTGCTTGCTTGAACACTCTCTCTTGGAGCCCTGAGCTGCAATGTCCAGCTATTCTATAACCACCATGCTGGAGAGACCACATTCAAGAACACGGGTCACCACTTCCAGCTAAGTCATACTTTAGCCACAAAAGCCAAGGCACCGGACTCAAGTGTGATGAAGCCATCTTGATTCATTACCTGTGACTCATGAGAGGGGCTTTACAATTTGAAAAGTTTGGTAAAAACTTGGTACTAGCTACTTTTAAAACTAAGCAATGAAAAAATGAGGTAATTAGTAATCCCAAGAAAAACAAAGTTGACCCATAAAAGAATAGCATCCTATATGGTTCAGCTGTGAGTACTTAAGTCATGGTAATGCAAACACTGAACACTGATTTAGCCAAAAATGGTGATATGACTGACTACACTGGGAGGATGGAAGGGGGGAAATGTGCATGAGGACGGTGAAGGAAGGCAATCGAAATTGTCTAAAATTGAAGAAGCTAAAAATAGCTGTATTGTTTAGAAGTACAGATATAAATTACAGAAGAGGCAGATGGGAGATACTAAAGCATGGGTATATGCCAGTGGGCATAATCCAATAGAGAGGGAGATGCTGATGGAGGGTGGTTGAACAAATGAGGGGAGGCCACTCAGCACCAGTGGACTGACGGGCCTTTGACAGGGGACGGACACACTAACCAGAGAGAAGAAGAGGCCAACAAATGTAGATGTGTAGATTTAAGGTGGAAAAGTGAGGGAGTTCACATCTGATAGTTTCTCTTTGTTCATGAAATTATGAGCAGAGTTCATCAGCTAGAGGAAGAAGCAGGAAGGGTTGCGGGAGTTTTAAAGATAAAAAAGGTATAGAGGGCTTCCCTGGTGGCGCAGTGGTTGAGAGTCTGCCTGCCGATGCAGGGGACACGGGTTCGTGCCCCGGTCCGGGAAGATCCCACATGCCGCGGGGCGGCTGAGCCCGTAAGCCATGGCCGCTGAGCCTGTGCATCTGGAGCCTGTGCTCCGCAACGGGAGAGGCCACAACAGTGAGAGGCCTGCATAACAAAAAAAAAAAAAAAAAAAAGGTATAGAAAAATTGCTTCAAACAATACGAATGCTAATTTACCAGAAGAAACACAGTAAAATTGCCTAGCTGTTGTGAGTACCCCTTTGAGGTCTGTGATCTTGAACTTAAAGTGAAAGCAGTCTGCTGACATGGCTTTTCCATAGTAACATTAAATTACTTGAGGGCAGGGCTTCCCTGGTGGCGCAGTGGTTGAGAGTCCGCCTGCCGATGCAGGGGACACGGGTTCGTGCCCCGGTCCAGGAAGATCCCACATGCCGCGGAGCGGCTGGGCCCGTGAGCCATGGCCGCTGGGCCTGCGCGTCCGGAGCCTGTGCTCCGCAACGGGAGAGGCCACGACAGTGAGAGGCGCGCGTATCGCAAAAAAAAAAAAAAAAAAAAAAAAAAAATTGAGGGCAGGTATGGAGAAATGGATGGTGTTTTGTAGGGTGCTATAATAGAAAGGGAGGGAATTATTAGCATGAGGGTTTTTGAAGGGAGTATGTACAGTGATGGACCAGGAACCCTAAGCTGGACAAGAAGAGTGAACACAGGTGGTAGCTGATGGATAGTAAAAAGTGGTGGAGCCAATGGAAGGGCGATCCCAGCAGAGTTGAAGAATTGTTACAATGGACACTCGAACAAGTGCCTTGTAGGAGCAGAGGCTGTGGAAGACAGTGGGCATTTGAGCTTGCAGAGGCCTGACAGGCTCTGAAGGTGACAAGGTTCAGACTATGACCTTGAGGTGGAATGGAGGAAGAAAAGGTCATTAGAGATGAGAAGGTTGAGGAAACTGAGAAGCCAGTGTGCTGGATGGAGCACTGGTGTGGTTAACTTCACTGTTGACAGGAGCCGCGCAGAGAGGAAGATGGAGAACAGGGGGTGTAGCCCTCAGTGAACGGGAACATGTGGTCTAGTCTTAGAGTCAGACAGCAGGACCCTCTAATGGACAGGGCCTTTGTGAGAGGCAATAAGACTTACACTCTGGGAGCAACAATGGAGAAGAAGCAGGCACCAACACCACCTCCTGGCCTTGAAGTTTGTGGACTCTAAGAGATCAGACAGGCTCTGCCAGAAAGAACTGCAGGAATAGTGTCCTCAGGACCAGCCAGGCTCTAAGCAGGGCAAGGAGGGGCAGGGAGGCCGTTACAGGCTGAGATCAGGGAGCTGGGGGGCAGGGTTGTCCAGAAGACACAATGGGAATGTTTGGGAGGAAATGGAAAGGAAGGGTGGGAAATTGGGACAAATCAGGTGATGAGCAAAGCAGGAAAGGGATGCAACTCCGGGTGGCAATGGATGACTGGAAATTTCTGCTCTTCTGGTGGTGACAGAGGAAAAGAAAGTCAGATCTTGTCACTCCCCTGCTTAGAATCCTCCAATGGCATCCCACCAAACAGAATATAACTGAACTCCCAACAAGGCCCCACAAGGCTCTACATCGGTGGTTGTCGAAGTGTGGTCCCTGGACCAGAGGCATCACTATCACCTGGACCTTGTTAGAAATGTAAATTATGGGGTGCGGCCCAAGAGTGGCTAAATCTGAAATTCTTGGGGTGGGACCCAGCAATCTGTGTTTTAACAAGCCCTTCTCCAGGTGATTCTGATGTATGTGAAGTTTTTGAGAATCACAGATGCACAGTAATCTGGCCCTTCCTTACCTCTGACCTCTCTGACCTCTGAGTTTCCTAATTGACTAGGTCTTAGCCACACTGGCTTGCTTGCTTTCTTTCTGTTCTCGGGGCCTTTGCTCTAGCTGTGCCATCTACCTGGAGTGTGCCTGCCCCAGCCTGTCTCATGTCCCCTCTCTCTCGTCGTGCAGGTCTTTATTCAGAGAGACCCTTCCTGAGCAATGTTTCTCACCCCCAATTGTTTTCTAATCCATGGTGCTCTTATTTCTTCCAGCATTTACCACTTCCTGAAATCTTTTGTTTTAAACTTGTTTATGTCTATCTCCCCCACTAGAATGTAAAGTGCATGAGAACTGGGAACTTCTCTGCCTTTTTACCACTGTGTCCTCAATATGTAGGACAGAGCTGTTGTATAGTGGGGTGCTCAGTAATTACTTTTGAAAAAGGATGGGATGAATCCTGGTACTTCTTCGACTTTGAGGTACAAGGGAGACAGATCACTTGGGGATCTGTTCAAATGCAGATTCCTCTTTGAGGGGTCTGGGGTGGGACCCCAGATTTTGCATTTCTAACAAGTTCTCAGTGTCTGGTTCAGAGAGCTCACTTGGTCTCAAATACTTGGTAGTTCGGCAGCTTCCAGGCAACATCCTGGACATCCAGTCACATTTGTACTCATTCTATTTTAACTATTCTCTGGCCAGGAACAATGGTAGTTTTCCTGAACCAGCTCTCCTTGGGGAGGAGAGATGTTTGGGCTCTTTCCAAAGATTACAGAATAATGAAAAGATGCTTACTAGGGAGGCTACTGCTTTTAAAGGAGCAAAGTTTTGCCGAGAATAAGTCCAGTTTTTCCAAAGTAATAAAGAAATGAGAGTCTAGATAATTGCAACCTGTAGCTAATCAGCTAACTATACAGTGAGGAATTATTTAAATCTGTTCCCGACTAAATTGTTTGCTAGGAAAGCCGACAAGAAACAGCAGAGGGTTCGGTATGCATTTGGCCTCTTCTCTTTCCTGCTCACGTGCTCTGGGGTGGCATCAACAAGGGAAAACAGCAAAAGAAGGAAGTCTGGGCTGTATTATCTGAAAACTCAGATACCAAACACTGCAACTGAAGACCACGAGCATCAGATAAGCGTTTCTCAGAATCCATTCTTAAGACATGATAATTCACATGCACTAAACAGTTATTTCATCAAAAAAAAAAAGTTTGGAAAATGCTGGGTTACATAAACACAAATTAGGATTCCCAGCTGCTGCACTCGTCAGAAGCGTCAAGGTGCCAACCTACTTGTAGACGCCCCAAGGACTTTCAATACACAGCATCTTCTAAGAGTATCTTGTAGAACAAGTGTCCCGTGGAGTGAACCTTGGGAAAGTTCATTGGATGAGGTTGGCTTCTATTTACGCATTTCTCAAAAGAGGAAGGCTAAGCAGAGATGAGAAATAGGACCAAGGAGAGAGGCACAAGTAAGTGGTTTGTCACCAGGCCCCTCACTCAGCCTTCTGCTTCCCAGGGATTTCCAATTTGAACGAGCCACCTGTGCTAGCATTCCCTTAATATCTCCCCTTAAGCCCCCCTTCTTCATCCCCTGTGTCCCACTCTCTCCCTTAATCTCCCTTTCTTCATCTCCTGTGTCCCATTCTCTCAGAGCTCTGTTCAAAAACTAAAAGAATCACCCACTGTTGTGAATTAATTTGAATATCCCTCCCAAGGGTATCAGTATCTTAAAGAGGATTTATGCAGTGGTCCTACTCGACCCAAAGGAATGGTTGTCTGTTGAACTATCAGGCTGGTGGGAGTGGTTTCTGACTGAGGAATGCATCTATACTTACTGAAGGATGTCTGCTTCCAGGTCCTGGAATTGAGGGGCGGGTTTCTTGGCTGGTGAAGAAACCGCTCTATCTCCATCTGCCTTGTTCTGTGAAGTTTGGGGGGTAAGCCCAGCATGCTATCATTGTGTACCCCATCCCCACCCCACCACCCCAAGCTTTAATCACTTCTCTTCAAACTGGGACCCTGGGGGATACTTGCTGCAGTTCCAAGTAATACTTTACAAGCACAACATAGTTTTTAGCATTTTGGGGTAAAGACCAGCTTTGCTCCCATACTCTGTTTATGTGATCTTTCTGAATCAAATTTTTTTCTAAATATTTTTCTGCCTCTGAATTGTGCTCATTTTGACCTTAACAATACGTTTCTCACCGAGTATACAATCAACAGCAGCACAGCAAGTGAAGAGTACAAGCGTTGCTGGATGAACAGTTTCGCATTTATTCTTCCATGATTTGGATAAAATATAACCTGGGAAAAAAAGATTTTTTAAAAAAACAATCTATGAGCTCCTCAAGGAAAATGACCAATGTCTCATTCCCATCTGACACCCCAGTGCTAAGTGCCTAGCATATAGCAGGTTTAACAGTTATTTGCTGAACTGAATATCCAGTTATGTTACAAAGAATTGTTTCTGTTTCACCTTTTTGCTGTTATTTCAGGGCCTCTCCCTGTTTAACGTGGTGGTTGACTATAATTCTCTACCCATTTTGCTTTCCTACTATTTGCCAACCAAGTGTGAGCACATAGAATATGTCATGAACATTTTTTTACCAAGATTTTTCAAATTTTGAAAGTTATTTTTTTTTTTTAGGCGCTAGGATATTTAAAGCCCATTTGACCATCTCTGCCTTAAGGCAACATAGACCCAATCTAATTCTCCATCAATTAGTAGGCTTCCGGCCACTAACAACATAACCCCAACTCAAACTGAAATAAGCCATATAGAAATGTATTATTTCACATGACAGGAAGAGTGGGACCACCTTCAGGGCTGGTAAATTGATTCATTGGCTCACTAGTTGACTCAAATTGGTGTCAAGAGTGATGCTGCCGTTGCAGGCATCATGCCCAGACATGCCCAGGTCTGGAAGAAGGAGAGGGACGGAAGAACCATCTCTTCCTGTGGCTCCCTCACAGGAGCAATGAACTGTCCCAGAAGGCCACTGGTTTCCCTCTGACTTGGCCAGAGTTAGGAGACTGCTTGGATGAACCAGGATCCACCCCAGACATCACGTGAGACAGGCAGGAAATGGGTGGCTCACGAAAACTGGGTAATGTGAGTTGAGTGTAAGAGCAGGACTGTTGGGACTTCCCTGATGGTCCAGTGGCTAAGACTCCACACTCCCAATGCAGCGAGCCTGGGTTCGATCCCTAGTCAGGGAACTAGATCCCACACGCCACAACTAAAAAATGATCCGGCATGCCACAACTAAGACCCTACACAGCCAAATAAATAAATATTTTTTAAAAAGAGTGGGACTATTTACCAAAGTGTGGGGAAAGCATAGAGAGACCACAAAAATACCATGGAACCCCATTCCCACCAGGGCAGGTAACAATGGGGACACCATTACTGCCTGTTTTAGTTTCCTGCAGTTACTGTAACAAATGACTACAAACAGGTGGTTTAAAGCAACAGAAATTTATTCCCTCACGGTTCTGGGGGCTAGAAGTTGGGAACTCCCTCTGGAGGCTCTAGGGGAGAATCCATTCTTTGCCTCTTTCAGCCTCTGGTGACTGTGGCATTCCTTGACTTGTGGCCGTATCACTCCAGTTCTGCCTCCGTGGTCACACTGCCTCCTCTCCTACCCGTCAAATCTCCCTCTGCCTCTCTCTTATGAGGACACTTGGCATTAGATTTAGGGTCCACCTGGATAATCCAGAATTATCTCCTCTTCTCAAGATCCTTAATTACATCTGCAGAGACTTTTTTTTTCCAAATGAGGTCACATTTTCAATCCAGGGATGAAGACATGGATGTCTTTTGGCGGCCACCATTCTGCCCACTGCACCACCCCAAGGCCTGCAGGGGTAGGGCAGGGAACCCAAAGCCAGAGCTGTGTGGAGTGAGCCTTTTGAAGGAGTCAAGACCTCCTAAAGAGAGACACAGCCAGCCCACTGGGAGGAAGCCAGGGGAATCAATACCACAGCCGCATGCTCCTGTCTCTCTTTGATCTCCTGCTGGTATCCCCAATAGCCAAACCCAACCAGAGCTTTTGATGTTCTCCATAAAGGTCAGCCTCCCAGGGCTCAAAGTGAGGAAGAGAGAAGTGGGTCTGGAAGGGCAAAGGGAAGATACGGAGCACGATGCAGACAGCACTGAGGCTTCTGTAGGAAGGAAGAGGGGGGAATAGGTGCTCTGGGGCAACAAGCCGTGCCCACCAAGCCCCCAACTCACTGGCCCACAGCCCATGGACTCTTTGACACGCCACACAGTTTACAGGAAACCTGTGCTACATTTACGTAAACAGTTACTGTTCTCCCTGTTTACAAAAGCAAGGCACACTGGTTATAGAAAATATGGAATGTATAGAAAGATGTGAAGACAATAAACATTACCCACAAATGCTACTACGCAGAGCTAACCACTGTGGACACTTTGGCGACTTCCAGTTACCACATTTCCACGTGTGTGTCTGTGTGTGCATTCAACAAAATAAGGGGACTCTGTATGTAGTATTTGTAATACAAGCTTTTTTCACTTACAGATACATCATGAGCATTTCCCATCTCCTTAAATAGTCTTAAAGAGCAGCATGGTTTAGTGGCTAGGTAGTATTCCACGATACGGCCATACTATCCTTGTCCAGCTTTTCAGGTACCTGGGCTGGGGCTGGGCTGACCACTCAGCTTTGAGCTTCATTGTCTTCCTTTCTCTCCTCTGCCCCCCACCTTCCCCGGAACTGCTTCCCAAGAGACTCTCCTGCACCCACATGACCTCCTGATTGAGAAGCACCCCTCCTGTTGGACCCCTTAACCAGGTGCGTAACAATGAACTTGGGGCCTCCTTGTTTACCTTCATACCTCTTCCCACCCTTGCCAACTTCTCTGTTAGCTGTACCTTGCAGAAGGCTTCCTATAGTAAAACATTCTCAGCTTAATATTACCCCCTCCCTAGGTTTCTGCAGCTGTCAGTAACAGTTTCTTAATATCCCAGAAGAGTCAGTTTTGGGAATTTGGGGGAGAGGCAAGAAACCCATGTCCCTCTGCTCTGGTGAAGTCCTAGGCTTTTTAGGCTGAGACCTGTTCCAAAGACGATTCCTTGAATTTAGGGACAGATCTCATGCCTGAGGCCTGGCCAGCAGGCCTGGGAGACCAAGAGGTAAAGGTGACTTCCCAGGTCTCCCTGCAAGCAACCTCAGCCTCTGTCTCCCTCCCTTTATGGATATGGCCCAGGCCATGGTGCAGCCTCCACCAGGGCCAGCAGCCCTTGCTCTGTCCCCAGAGGTGTCCACAGCCACCCTGTAAAGAGCTCAGGTTTCACAGCCTTTTCTTACCAGAAAGTTTGAACAAACTCAGGACCCCGCACAGCTGGGAGTCATTAACCAGGAATCAAAGGGCAGCATCAAGGGGAGGCGGGGCCTTAACACACTCAGCCCCCAGGAGCTGACGAATCAGCCTCCAGGCAGAGTTAAGAGGCCCCAGCTGGAGGTCAACATGCCCTGAGCAGTGGGGGCAGGGCTGAGGGGTGTCCCAGCTGCTTCATCTTCAGGACGGGTGGCTGAGGGGGCCCTGCAGGGATGGAGTGGCTTCCCCTTATCCCTTGGTCACTGGTCCTTCTGCTAGAGTCCATTCCATTGCCTTGGCTTAGAAACCTCACTGGGCCTCTCAAGAGGTCAAGAGAAAGCCAGGACAGACTCCTAGCAAAATCAGGGCTGGTCAGGTGGTCCCAGGCAGAATCAACGCTTCAGGCCGCCAGCCAAGCTGCACCGTCTGTTTCCCAGGACTTGTAGGGGGGCCTGTAAAGAATTCAGCAGACACGTAAGGCTTCAGTTCTACCTATCTGGATTCTTAAGAAGACTAGGTGATTCTTTTTATTTTTTTTGCGGTACGCGGGCCTCTCACTGTTGTGGCCTCTCCCGTTGCGGGGCACAGGCTCCGGATGCACAGGCTCAGCGGCCATGGCTCATGGGCCCAGCCGCTCCGCGGCATGTGGGATCTTCCCAGACCGGGGCACGAACCCGTGTGCCCTGCATCGTCAGACGGACTCTCAACCACTGCGTCACCAGGGAAGCCCGACTAGGTGATTCTTGACTCAACTGAAGTTACCTCGCTGCTGGACTGGAGGGCTTTTATGGTTCAAACTCCTCTTGGGAACAGCCCCGCCAGAAGCCTCCTTGGGCAGGCAGGCCTCCCCTCTGCCACCCTCCCCAGCAACCCCCCGTCACTCCCCAAGTCTGCCCTGTCCCAGCGTCTTTCCAGCCAATGCTCTCAACAGCCCCCTCCCTCCGGGCTACGCTTAGAGTCATGTGCTCTCCACAGAGCCCGGCCTGGGACGAGCCGCCAGCCTCCCACTTCCTCCATCCCGGGGCCCTGTGAAGCCTAGAGCTCTGGAAGGGCTCACAGCAGCGGCCTCTGTGCCCCTCAGGAGAGAGAAGCTGGAAGGACCAAGAATGTGCTGTTACAGACCAGACTTCCTGCCCCAGGTGCCCTCTGACCTTGGGTAATTACAGCTTCCGGGAGTGGTTGGCTCCCCATCTAGCAAATGGAGATAATGAGGCCCTACATCTCGGGGCTATTGAAGGTTTAATTGATTCATGGTGGCGACACGGTTGGGAATCCTGGCCTGGAATTCAGCGGAGGCTGCTCATCGACAAGGTCAACAAGGTAAGGGGGTCTGAAGCAGGCCAGGAGTGGGAGAGCTGGCTGGTGGCCGGACTCTCTCAGCCCCAAGTTCTTCTCTGCCCCAGATTCTTCAAACTATTCCTAAGTGTTCTACCAGAACTCTCTGTCTGGCCAGGGTGGTCTGTTCCCGACCCCCTCACCTTGCCCCTCCCCCCACCTAGAGTACCTGCCCCATGTTTCCCAGTCTAGTTGATTCAAATCATACCCTGCTGAAATCCCACCTTGCTTTTAGGCCTTACTGTTCCTACCATAAGCCCTATTTGATTTCATTTCTGTGATGTCCCATAGATCAAGTGCTTCTCAAACTCTAAGGTGCATGAGATCTTGTTGAAATGCAGGCCCTGATCCAGAAGGTCCGTGGTGGGGCCTGAGATTCTGCATTTGTACCAAGCACTTAGGTGATGCTGATGCTGCTAGTCTGAGCGACACACTTGGAGGGCCAAGCCGCATCTTATGCCCTGTACCAGTGGTTTTCAAAGGTCTTTTTCGTAGCACAGGCCTTTCTTTTTTTTCCAAATGAGATCAGTATTTCTTTAATTCAAATGTATAAGTTCAAACTTACTGACATTTACTTCTAAAGTCAATCATTTAGGCTGTTTGATAAATACAAAAATATGAAACTGTGATATGGATGACAGTTTGTAGTCTGTGTCAGCCTCAGCTTCCAAATGTGTTTCTGTATTTTGTTGAGAAAAACCTTGATACACACAAATAGTTAGAAATGGCTAAATTGTTTTAAAATAATGACTTACCTAGAAATTTTAGGATATTCTTCATAGTGAGTAATCTTGTTGAGAAATTGTTCTCCTTTACAATCACTACGCTAGGAAGATTTAGTCCAAGTTCACAAAAGTATTTAAATTGGCAGCACAAGTTAATCCTTTGGTGAGTACAGTGTGTGAAAATTTAGTATGTAATAATTTTCAGCATATCTGTTGTTTTATTACTATTTTAAAATAAAGTGTAGGGCTTCCCTGCTGGCACAGTGGTTAAGAATCCACCTGCCAATGCAGGGAACACGGGTTCGATCCCTGGTCCGGGAAGATCCCACATGCCGCGGAGCAACTAAGCCCGTGTGCCACAACTACTTAACTTGTGCTCTAGAGCCCACAAGCCACAACTACTGAGTCCATGTGCCACAACTGCTGAAGCCCACGCGCCTAGAGCCCGTGCTCCACAACAAGAGAAGCCGCAATAAGAAGCCCACACACCACAACGAAGAGTAGCCCCCGCTCGCCGCAACTAGAGAAAGCCCGCGTGCAGCAATGAAGACCTAACGCAGCCAAAAGTAAAAAACAAATAAAATTAAATTAAAAAGTGTAAATTTAAAAATGAAATTCAAATCAAGGTAATTGTATTACCGGAGCAGGTTTCTCAACCTTGGCACCACTGTTGTTCTGGGCTGGAGAATTCTCTGCTGTGAGAGCTGTCCTGTGCCTTGTGGGAATGACTGTCAGCTCCCCTGCCCTCTACCCACCAGATGCCAGCGCCCTCCTCCTCCAAAGTTGCGAGAACCAAACCCATCTCCACTCTGTGCCAAATGTCCGCCCTTTTGCCAAAAGGCAAAATCATTCCACTCCTTGAGAACCACTGTCCTAGAGGAACTAGGACACAGTTTGAAAACTAATGGTTTGTAGCCTCCATTTGGTGCTTTGCCCGTCTGCCTTATGTTTTTATATGGCCCCCCCTGTAGCAACTGTCAACCCCTTGTGAGCAGGACCATGAAGGAAACTTCAGCAAACACCCTGTGAGCAGTGATTCGCTCGGTGGGGATACTTGGCCAATGTTTGTTCATTGATTGATAGAGTTACAAGTATCGGCCCTGGCAGCCTCATGTAGATATTTTGTGAGAAATCTGAGGTAAGGAATGTGAACATGTTTTGAAAGCGTGAACATAAAATAAGTGTAAGTGTCAAAGTGCATTTGTTCACCCAAATATCTCATCAGCCTATCCCTCCCCCCACCAAATATGAACAATGAAAAATTCTTACTTCTTACTTCTTTACTGAAATTTTCTTTATTCTCATGGAGTGGTTTCAGCTCTACTATTTATTAACTGTGAGGCTTTTAGCACATTACTTAATCCTTTTGAATCTCACTTTGTTCATCTGTAAACTAGGAATGATGATATTCATTTCAAAAGACTCCTTTGAGGATCAGATGAGGTAATATAGGTAAAGTACTTAACCACCGGTAAAAGTCACAAAGGAAACACCTAGTAAATGTGAGTTGTTGGTTCTTCCTTTGGTGTGTCTTTAAATATTCCCTGTCTAAAGAGGAGAGGTGGCAAAGAGAGTATAAAACAGCAGATAAGCTAAATATCTTGTCCATTTAGCTTTGGAAAGTGTCTTTCACTCAGTCCACTTCTTCTACTCATATACACACACATCCCCCTACCCACCCAGCCCCTCCTCTCCATCCTGCATCCAAAAAGGAAGTTATCTTCCCCACTTGTACACCCTCGGTCTCTTGAATCACCATTGTCCCCTCAGTCACCCAAACCAGAACCAGGGAGTCTCTCTTCTCTTATAGATAAGCTCTGCAAGTTCTACTGATTTCACTTTCAGAAGGTGAATTGCCGTCCCCTGGAGTCCTGATTTAGCTCAGGCCTTCATCAGTCTTACTCGAACTATTGCTGGGGGTCTCATAATTTTCCCACTGTCCAGTCGTGGTCCCTTCGAAACCCTTCTCCACTGTGTTTCTAAGCCAACATTCCCCTGCTCAACACCATTCAGTGATTTATCACAGCTTAGAAAGATCGGGTTCAAGTGCCCAGACAAGAGACACAGTGTCCTAGCCTAGCCCCAGCTCTCAGCCTCACCTTCCTCTCCTTGCCCTTTACCCTACTGCTGGTGCATTCTGCACAAGCCATGCTGTTCTGCATCTTTAGACTTCGGACACATTCTTCCCCTTGCTTGGTACATCTGTCTCCTTCCTACTTGTCTACTTGGAAGCTCCTCTTCCTCCCTTGATGGAACCCACATCAAGGCATTTTTCTAACACACATTTGCCAGGTACTCAATGACGTGAAATATACTCAAATGACATGAAGCTCCCTGCTCTTTCCCCCACCGTTCTTGAATATATGAAGTAGTGGATTAATACTCTTGTTTCATATTTACGTCAAGAAATTTAATCAATAGAAAATTCTGCACATAATGTAACAACGTGTATGACAGCAAATGTTAAGTGTGTGGACTGATGTCCTTTAGGGCACAATCACGGCTCCCTCACCGTTGATGCTGCATTATTTCCTGGGTTGACCTGTGAAACTGTGGGGTGTGTATTCAGTCGTGGCCTCTCAGCTTCTCAGTTTTCTCAGAAATCCTGTAAATGTTCTCATTCTGGCTCCTGTGAGACCCTAGGCAATTCACCTTCTTTGGAATATATAACTCACTCCTTCCCCAGGGGAGAAGCCTCTCTCTTGGCCCACAGAGGCAAGTGGGGGACCCCACCACCCACCCCAGGGATCTGCCTCCTGCTTCTTCTTTTTCCTCTTCCTGTCCCATCTTTTTTCCTCTCCTCTTCGCTCCCCATCTCTTGGGGTTTGTTTTTCCTCTACTTTTATATCTACCTGGCAAGATGGAAAGATTCCCGTCACAGGAAGGATAAAAGCAGATGTTCTAAAATTGTCTACCAGCTAATGCGTATTGAACACCTAAGAGCTTCACACGTGTTAACTCATTCAGTCCTCACAATAAGCCTGCGAGACAGGAACTTTCGTTTCCCCCAGTTTTATAGATAAGGAATCCCTGACACAGAGAGGTTAAGTCACTTCCCCAAGGCCCCACAGCCGACAGGGAGCAGAGGCAGAGTTGGACCTCGATGTGTGACTCCAGGGCTCACACTGCCATGATCCTTTCAGTGAGTCCTGCAACAGTTTTATGAGCTGTATTTTAATATCCCACTCACCTGTCTACTCTATGAGTCTTCGTGATCACCACTTCTTCAAAGGAAAAACAAACGAAAAACCCAAAAAGAATAGAGAAAAAAAGAAAAAGGATAATTTGGTTCTTGCCATGCAGTTTCTGTATGTGCTTTCATGATCACGTGTGCCACGCCTCAATGGCAGGACTTTAGAACGGTGCTTTCTCAGCCATCTTTCTATCCTAAGCACGTAGAAGTTTTTCAGGGTGGAGAGATTTTTCTAGAAGCAGCCTGATCACAAAGTGATATTCATCAGCTCATTCCACCACAGCAGTGTTCTTGTTTCATCTCTTCCGTGGACCAGCTGACTGAAGCCAGAGGACTGAACAAGATCGCCGGACCCTCCGACGGTAGAAAGGTGAAAGGACATGGCTAACGAGGTAAAGGTTCAGAAAAGTGTTCAATAAAAATATCTGTGCCTTGACAGAGCACAGTCCTCTGTCCTTCTGTTGAACCAGAAGGCTTCCTAAGCCTGAGGGTGGGCATGTTTGCTGGACTGCAGCCATCCTCATGGAGTAAAACCATTTCTAAATGAAAATGAACTAAGAGCTTTCTGGGCTGCCATAGAAAATGTTGCCTTTGGGGCTAATGTTGCCCAGACCTGGGTGTAAGCTGGCGAAAGCAGCGTGGGTGTGTGTGAACTCATTGCCTGGGCTGCGCCACCAAGCACACCTCGAGAGTGTGTGGCGGAGCTTCTCAGCATCACCACATCCTGGCTCTGTTAGTGCTAATAGGGGCAGAGTGGCTCTGTTGGGCCAGCTTGATAAAGCCTTCTGAAAACATCCCCATCCCGGTGCTCAGGAAAGGAGTCAGAGAATGATGCCAGGAAGAGAAGAAAGGAGGGTCAGGACTGGGGACCCCACAGAGGGCTGAGCAGGGCTCCGCTGGGCTAGCGCTTATTCCTCTAACTGCCTGTTCCTGCCTTGAGATGCAAAGCTGTCTGCTGGAGGAAAAGCACATTTGATAGCTCAGCCTTTGTAAGAGAGGAAAGGAGAGTCAGTTTATTAGGAAATTGATTGTGAGACCAACGAGATGCTGCATTGATGCATCTTATGGTAAACTGGCCCTTTAGTGACCTGAGGATTCTCAGGTGGCACAGAGAGCATCCATCCTACAGACCAGTCCTTCCCTGTGTGACAGGAAGCCAGGGACAGGCTGAAGTAAAGACCTCCAGTCATCTCCTTCCACGCAGCAGTTGGCACTCACAATGCCCTACTTTCTGCCTGAGAGGAGAAAATTATGATACAAACCAAGTGGCAATCTCCTGCCACTGTTTCTGGGACCTGCACAGTGAACACTGAGTGGGGAGGGGATTGATGAGGCTGACGGCAGGTGTCTTTGAACCTACCTGTGCTCCCCAGTTCCCTCTGTATGATTGCCTGGTGGCAGGGAAGCAACAGCAGCAATCCTTCATTTAACCATTTTTTTTTCATTCTTCGACTTGCCATTTGTCCCTACTCCAATGTTGACCTTAAAACACGGAGACTTCTACATTTGGGACTGCGGAAAATCTGGCTAAAACGTCCACAGCCACTTTCTCACTTTGTGCTGGGCCCCCAAACCACAAGGGTTATCTTCTGGTTCATTCATTGTCTCTGACTTTGTTTCTGGTCTGCTCTAAATGTCTTTTTGGTGACCAATAGACTATAAAGTCACATTTACAAAGTTGAAGAGAGTTGAAATATGAAGAAATGGTTTTGAGGTTGATAAAGCTTCCTTTTAGATAAGGCTACCTTTTACTGTAGACTGCTAAAAATATATTTTAAAAGAAAGATGTTAAGCCATATCCTGCTTAGGAAATATCCCTTAGTTTCTCTTTGAGGAGACATTTAAGAGCAGGTGGAAGGAGCACGTTTAGTTTCATTCCTGGCTGTAGTTAGCGCTTTCGCTGATTGCTTAACAGGAGGCCTCTCAAGGATGCCACAAAAGGCAGAATAATCAGCCCCAAAGAGTGATGAGTAGGACCCTCGGGCTTCAGGCTCTATGAGAAAAGTTGAGAGAGATGGAAAATGTCTGGGCCTGTGGAACGCCTGGCTTCAGTCCTGCTGCTGTTGCCCTAAAGAGCCAACCATTAGCAAGGATTCAAGGGGGTATTTCTGAGATTTCTCTGAGCACCGTCTTTCAGCACTCCCTGCCCTCAGCTTCTCTTGGCCTCTCAAGGATGCAGTGGTTGGTATCCACAAAAAAGCCGGTGGAGCCAGCTTCTAAAATGTGCAATCACCAGGACTGTAAGTTGGGTTTCCTAGGCGACAGACTGGGTGATGAGGTTTTGCGTGCAGGTGATTGTTGGGGTGTGCTCTCACAAACAGCACCGTGACAGAGTAAGGGAAACAGGAGGATGGAGGGAGAAGTTCAACTGTGATGTGGAGACCTGAACTCTGAAGCTGGGAGGACCCTCCAGAGATGTCTCCAACTGAGGCAGGGAGGCCGGGCCTTTGGACCCTCACGTCAGCTAGATCCTGGCTGACCAGCAAGGGGTATAACTTTGGGTGAGGTAGCTTCCTTCAGCCAAGGACAGTTCTTGGGAAGAGACTCTACTGAAAGCCAAGCCACCAGCAAACAACGCTTCCCCAGCAGCTGGAGAAATGAGTGCCTGAGTCCTGAAGAGGGACTCCAGGGCAAGCACCACAGCATCCAGGACAGTCTACCTCTTGTGAGTTCAGTATACCTTTTAGAATAATACATTTGTCTCATTGCAAACATGTCCCCCACTTTCCTAAGTTCCCTGGGAAACTTAAAGTAAGGTTAGTGACACAAACCATAGCCCCCACTGCTATAGCTGATCTTGATACAACTGATGCTCATCACCTACTAGCCATTCTCCACTTTCCTCAACCTCAGCGAGCATCTCTGCTAGTCTACGTGGCTATCCTGTTGGGGGAAATCAGGAATTCGTCCCTGAGGTTTCTGAGTCCCTGGACAGAGCTGCTGCCCTTTTTGATTTACCATCACAATTGGGCAGAGGACTACGAAACAGAAACAGACTCACAGACATAGAGAACAGCCCTGTGGTCCCCAAGGGGGGAGGCGAGGTGGGGGAAGGAAGTATTGGAGTTTGGGATTAGCAGATGCAAACTATTATATATAGGATGGATGAACAACAAGTTCCTACTGTATAGCACAGGGAACTATATTCAATATCCTGTGATAAAGCATAATAGAAAAGAATATAAAAAAGAATTTTATATATATATATATATGTATAACTGAATCACTCTGCTGTATAGCAGAAATTAACCCAACATTGTATATCAACTATACTTCAACAAAATTTTTTAAAAATCAGGCAGAGGACCATTCACAGATACCCAGTGGATTACATGGGTGCCAAACATAATCAACCTTGTCCATTGTATAAAAGTAGTCTACCTACTCCTGCTGATTGGGACCAATTACCCCTGCCAAGAGAGTAACCCGTCTGCTTCTCTGCTGGTCTCTTTGCTCAAGGAGCCCTAGTGAACAAGTAGCAGTCATAGCTTAAAGCTGAATGGGGGACTTCCCTGGTGGCGCAGTGGTTAAGAATCCGCCTGCCAGTGCAGGGGACACGGGTTCGAGCCCTGGTCCGGGAAGATCCCACATGCCGCGAAGCAACTAAGCCCGTGCGCCACAACTACGGAGCCTGCGTGCCACAACTACTGAAGCCCACGTGCCTAAAGCCCGTGCTCTGCAACAAGAGAAGCCACTCAGTGAGAAGCCTGCAAACCGCAACGAAGAGCAGCCCCCACTTGCTGCAACTAGAGAATGCCCGCGCCCAGTAACAAAGACCTAAGGCAGCCAAAAATATAAATAAATAAATAAATAAATAAAAAGCTGAATGGGACTTTTTCTGTAACTCCTGATGGAAGAGTTTCTCCCTCTGGGAACCAGGAACTCCAAACCTGCAGGCAGAGATTTGCAGGAGCTATAAGCATGCATTTCCCAAGTGGATCGCTGGGAGTGATGGTAAGCACAGCCATCTTCTCCCACCCCTCCCCCTGCCCCTTGACTCCTGGACTCATGAATTCTACCTACTGGAGATACAGCCCTTCATAGTGGTCATTATTTTAGGGTGCATACTGCATCCTAGAAGATGGTATCCTTTCTAAGCTGGCACCTTGGCTTTGTCATCCTATTATTCAATCAGGTTGGCAGATTCTGGGTGGAATGGTATATAATAGAATCAGTGGATCCCATGGTCATGTGTCCACAGCATGCCTCCCTGGCTGTAAAATGAGTTCCCTCGTCTTTTGTGTTACTATGCAGGATTCTGTGTTGGTGTATGAAACATTCTGGAAGCCCTTGGACAGCGATGTTGGAAAGGCAAAAGAAAACCTGTGACGTGTCCATACCAGTCAAGAGGAAGCACTGACCCTTGCAGAATGGGAGGAGTCCAGTGTAAGCAGCTTACCACCAATTGGTTGGTTGGTCCCCACTTTATGGGGAACTCAGCCCTGTTCCTGTTGCCAGTTGGTTGGACATTCAGCAGTGGCGGTAGCTAGACCAGCCCTGGTGAGTAAGAATATAGATTGCCTATTGTATTTTTTATTGTTAACTAATAAGCTTTGGGGGTTGTTTATATTAGTTTTTACTGTTTTCACTTCATTAATTTCTCCTTATATTTTTATTAATTCCTTTTTCTTTGCTTTATTGAGTATTTTGTTATTTTGTTACGGCGGTTGTTCTTTTTCGGATCTCCCTGGCCACTCTTCTGTTTCAATCGGCATATCTCTTGAACAGCTTGTCACAGAAAGCTCTTGGGTCAGGTATCAGCCCAAAACTGCAGAGTCTGCTGCTGCAAAGGCTCAGAATGACTTCCCTTCTTCCCTTTCCCTCCTAAGTGGATAGTCATTCCCGGCTGGATGTCTTCATCTTGCTCTAATTCAGGAGGCTAAACTGTTGTCAGGAAGGCATCAAGTTTCCTTGCTAGGACAAGAGACCTGTTGTCCTTTTTGTGATTTGTGTGTGTGTGTTTGCTTGGCATCCTTGACTCTTCCCTTGACTTAAAAGGAAAGTAATAGAGAACACAATTTTGGATCTTAGGGCCCAAGGCGTAGCTTCCTATGGATAGCAGCAAATGGACAGGGGGCAGGTCTGGATTGTCCCAAATGCACTACAAGTGCCTGCAGTCCAGCTGGGGAGGGCTTTCCTTTAACCTGCCTAAGCTTCAGTTCCCTGTACTGTGAAACGTCCTTGCTGGGTCACTGTGTGGCTTGGATGAAGTACCTTCCAATCGCACTTGGCACTTAGTACTTGCTCAATAAATGTTTGTTGTAAGGACATTATTGTAGTAATGGCTCTCTACATGGCTCTTAAGCCTTCCTGAGGGCAGTTAGTCATCTTAGTTACCTCATCATCCACCGGAACATTGAATATACTCAATAAATGCTTGTGCAGGCTAACTGACTAATTTCTATTGGAGGAATCTGGTATCCCTGAAAGTGCCCAGACCTGAATTTTATAATGCAGCCCTGGGCATGGGTGTAGTTAGCAAACACATATACAGTAGCACTTAATATACAGTAGCACTTAATATACAGTAGCGCTTAATTGGGAATTGCTGCTTATTGGGAATCCCACCACAGTCTCATTTGGCCTGGCCAGCCCAGGTAGGTTTGTTTACAAGGCCAAAAGTGTGCAAGGTGCAGTTTTTTGTTCTGTTAATTTTTATTTATTTATTTATTTTTGGCTGCATTGGATCTTTGTTGCTGCACGCAGGCTTTCTCTAGTTGTGGCGAGCGGGGGCTACTCTTCGTTGCGGTGCGCGGGCTTCTCATTGCGGTGGCTTCTCTTGTTGCAGAGCACGGGCTCTAGGTGCTTGGGCTTCAGTAGTTGTGGCATGAGGGCTCAGTAGTTGTGGCTCACGGACTCTAGAGCGAAGCCTCAGTAGTTGTGGCGCACGGGCTTAGTTGCTCTGCGACATGTGGGAATCTTCCCGCACCAGGGATCGAACCCGTGTCCTCTGCGTTGGCAGGCGGATTCTTAACCACTGCGCCACCAGGGAAGTCCCAAGATGCAGTTTTATTCTTAACTGCCAAAACTTTGAAGCAACCAAGTGGTCCTTCAGTAGGTAAATGAATAAATATACTGTACCTCCAGAATGGAATGTTATTCAGCACCAAAGCTATCAAGCCATGAGTAGACATGGAGGAACTTTAAATGTATATTTCTTAGTAAAGAAGCCAAATCGAAAAGGCTACGTATTGTATGATTCCAAATATATTGACATTCTGGAAAAGACAAAACTATAGAGACAGTAAAAAGATCAGTGGCTGGCAGGGTTTAGTTGGGAGGGAGAAATGTATAGGCAGATCACAGAGGATTTTAGGGCAGGGAATCTATCCTATATGTTACTACAATGGTGGATACACGTCATTACACATTTGTCCAATCCACAGAATGTACAACATCAAGAGTGAACCCTAATGTAAACTATTGATTACATTGTGTCAGTGTAGGTTCATCTACTGTAGCACATCCCATGTGAAGTGGGATGTTAATAGTGGGGGAGATTATGCAAGTATGGAGGCAGGGTATATATGGGAACTTTCTATACTTTCTGTCCAATTTTTCTGTGAACCTAAAATTGTGCTTAAAAATAAAGTCTATTTAGAAAAAAAAGTCAGCTGGATGAATGAGTGATGGATTTATGTGACGGGGATGCTGTGTGGTACCTGTGATAGGCAGTGCATCCAGGGAGTTAACAGGGAAAATGAAAACTTTTATGATGGGCCTATCTTCCCCAATCTTTTCTTGCAAAGGATCAATTCAGAAAAAATAAAAATGATTACAGTCATGTCTTTTTTTAATCATTCAAAATGAAAATAGCTCCTTTTGACGCTGATAAATACGAAGCCTATTTTTACAACCAAGGTGACCTATTTTATTGAAGAGAAAAATGTCAATAAGAAAATTGGCACTAACTTTACTTTTTAAGTTTCATTATCTGGTCATGTTTAGAAAGTAGCAACATGAAGCCAGGTATCTAATTTTTCATCCTGAAGTCAGAGAATTGGCTGCTGAAGCTCAGCTGATCACTGTTAGCTCCATTGGCCTATCCTGTGCTAGCCGTCCTTGCATTTTCACACAACTTGGGAAGGCCAAATCACAGGTTCAGTAGGGAGCTATGGCAGGTTGTGAGGAGGTACTGGGAGGCTGTGTGGTTAAAGTGGTATTTTGTGAAGATTAATATGTCAGCTGTGACAAGAATAGATTCCACCAGGGGAGAAACAGAGGCAGAGAAACCTATTGCATGATGTTATCACAACAGCTGGGAGGTGTCGACTGAAAAAAATGCACAACCTAAAAGTTGATAATTATGTTTTACTCGGCTGACAAAACTGAGGACTTAAGCCTGGGAGGCAGCGTCTCAGATAGCTCTGAGGAACTGCTCCAAACAGGCAAGGGAAGAGCCAGGATACATAGGAACAAAGACCAGGCTTTTTTTGCAACAAAGACCAAGTAGTCAGAACATCAAAAGATTACTGTTCATTAAAGAAAACCAGACATCTCAAGTTAACGAATTTAGCACTTTTCTGTGTATGGGAAGATGCAAAAGTCTGAGTTCATTGAAATCATTCCTTTGATATGTGCCTCAGTTATCCTGGGCCAGTATCCTGTGGTTCCTCACCCTGAGTCTCCTCAGGGTGCATAGTCGGGGTGGCTGTAATGCGATGGCTTAATGCAACATCCTTTGTTTACTGATGAGACAGGCAACATTTTTTCACTGACAGAGTGATAAGGACCCAAACTCTGGTGAGAGCCACGGGACCATAAGAAAGGAGTATGAGGTGCGAGAATACATGAAAAGTCAAGACAATTGAGGAGAGGAACAGAAGTTGGACACTGGGTGTAGATACGCGGGCTTCTCTCTTGGGAGGTATAGTGTAAGGCCTGAAATGAAGGCTCAAAATTGTGTGCTACCTTGACAACTGGTAAAATCGGGAGAACCTCAAATGGCCTAAATGCAAGTCCCCCTCCCCATTCAGCTTCCACGGAGGCGATCCTCTAGCCAGACAACCCTCCTTATCAAAGGGACTAGGCACAGCTCCCTCTTATCCCTGAGAAGTGGGTTCCCGTTTCCCAGCCAGCCCACGGAACATTTCAAACAAACCAACATCTCTCCATGGGAAGCAGGGCTCACCCCTACCCTCTTGGTACTACAAAACCTGCCTCCCACAGCCCCTGGTTGTTCACTCTGTTTCCTGTGGCTTCACATGGCATGAGTGTCTTCCTTCCCTGGGCTGTGAGCACGTGTGAGTATACATGGCTGTGAGTATTCCACACATAGAGATAGAGAAATTCAAAGCTGGATAAACCTGTCTCACCCTCTAAATAAGGAAACAGACCTAGAGGCCAGGGTTTCTGACTGTCCATGCCTTTTCCACATCTCAGCAAGAGGATCTGAAAGGCAAGGGGAGAGGAGCTGTATAAAGGTAAATATTGAATAATTATATGAAGAAGTATAGAAGTTCTGGATGGTGTCATCCTCCTCCAGAGTAGATTTACTTTTGCTTCTGGAAAGCAGTTAGAATGGGGCTGCTTGCCTTAATCCAGCCTTGGATTGATCTGATCTGAGGTTGGATATCAATCTTGCTGCTGACAGAGCTATTTCTGGTTCTTCTTTTCTCCTTGGTGCAGCCCTTCAGGTATCACAGCTGTGAGCCTGAGGTCCCTTCTCCCTGGTGAACCCCCAGCTCCAGTTTTTATTTTCTCAACCCTGTGAGACTTTGCTCAGCTTCTCTGTCTCTTAATCATCCCTTTCTTTTTTCCCTAAAGCTCTATGAGCATTTGTTTTGATTTTTTTCCCCCAGCTTTATTGAAATACAATTGATTAGCAATCACTTTGTATCCTCAGCCTCTCACCCCATTCCTCCTATGAATCAACAACTCCCTGGAGGGGAGAAATGGCCCAACCTTGGTCTCACCTCAATGCCTTTCCTCTCTCTCCAGGACCCTGCCCCTAATTTCTGCTGCTGTGGTAACCCCTCTAATGGCTTAAAACAGGTAGCTCTTTTTAAAAATCCAGATATTTTAGTTGGGTTCAATGGAGAGCTGGTCCCACGTAAATTGACTGTTATAGCCCCAGTGAAAATCCAGTTAATAAAGCATTCACTGAACATCTACTCTGTGCTCAGCATTGCGGAGCTTCAGTGCATGAAAGAGAAGTAACAGACTTGTCCTCTGCCCTTCATTCACGTGGAGAGACAAGACAGCACGTGCAGTTACTGCGTACTACAAAAAGAGTACACTGTTAGGAGAAGGGACTCTCCTTCGTTCCTCACCTTCTGAGCCAGCACAATACTGAAGTCTCCTTGTCAGTCGGTAAACATGTGTGTGCAGGTGGAAGTGTTTCTGTGCCTGGAAACCCGCATGCTTTTAGGAAGAGACTAAGTCCGGATTGGGGAGCGGGTGGCCAGAGAGTGCCTGTGGTCTCAACCTTGCTTTGGCCAATCCTACGCCTCTTAGTAAGTGGTGCCCTGTTGTCAAGTTCCAAGCAGAGAGATGCTTCA